CGGCAAGAAGAAAGAACGAAGAACGGAGACTAACAAAATGGGGCTGCTGGTCAAGTCTTTCAGTTCACAGCAACAAAACGGACACCAACAAAATGGGGCTGCTGATGAGTTCAGTTGCCAGCAAGAAGAAAGAACGAAGAAAGGAAACTGTTCACAGCAAGAAACGAAGACTAACAAAGTGGGGCTGCTTATCTGTTCAGTTGCCGGCAAGAAGAAAGAACGAAGAACGGAGACTAGCAAAATGGGGCTGCTGATCTAGTCTTTCAGTTCACAGCAACAAAACGGACACTAGCAAAATGGGGCTGCTTATCTGTTCAGTTGCCGGCAAGAAGAAAGAACGAAGAACGGAGACATGACATTCTTTTGGGGTGCTACACACGACGGCACTTCTGCAGGGTGGAGCACAGGGTTTTCTCCAAACGTGGTTTTCCCTGTGCCCCCATGTTCTTAATTGGTGCTTTTGGGAGCACATGTCTCTTACACCGACAGCCGGCACTTCGTAACCTTGTGTGCATGCGCATAGCGAAAAGAACGGAGACTAACAAAATGGGGCTGCTGATCTAGTCCTTCTCGGGTTTAGCGTTACCCTAAGCAAATTTGGCCCTGTTTTGGTGCAAAAGACCTTGTCAAAACCCGCCCAAAAACCTGTGCGGGCAACGTAATCGTGGCTCCATAACCCGACGCGAGCTACTTGGTCAGAGCTGCAACAAATGTTTAGGGTTTCGGGTTTAACGGGTTAGCGCGTAGGGTTTTTTCTTACAGTTTGCAAATTGTAAGAAAATTGCAGCGTCCCGAAAAGTGAAAAGTGCTCGATGTCTTGGGTCATTGGGAAGTTTAGGGTTTTTGGGCTGTCGGGATTTGTGGAGGAGAGCATCATGAGCATCAGCTGGGTTATTTTCCGGCCACAGGGCCCCCTAGGCTCCAGACGCTTGCCAAACCACACCGCCCCAGAGCATCATGAGCATCAGCTGGGTTATTTTCCGGCCACAGGGCCCCCTAGGCTCCAGACGCTTGCCAAACCACACCGCCCCTGTGATTGAGCAGATTTGACGAGTCAGCTGGGTTATTTTCCGGCCACAGGGCTCCCTAGGGTTCAGACGCTTGCCAAACCACACCGCCCCTGTGATTGAGCAGATTTGACGACGGCGGGAGGAGAGCATCATGAGCGTCAGCTGGGTTATTTTCCGGCCACAGGGCCCCCTAGGCTCCAGACGCTTGCCAAACCACACCGCCCCAGTGATTGAGCAGATTTGACGAGGCGGGAGGAGAGCATCATGAGCATCAGCTAGGCTATGTTCCGGCCACAGGGCCACCGAGGCTCCAGACGCTTGCCAAACCACACCGCCCCTGTGATTGAGCAGATTTGACGACGGCGGGAGGAGAGCATCATGAGCATCAGCTGGGTTATTTTCCGGCCACAGGGCCCCCTAGGCTCCAGACGCTTGCCAAACCACACCGCCCCAGTGATTGAGCAGATTTGACGAGGCGGGAGGAGAGCATCATGAGCATCAGCTAGGCTATGTTCCGGCATGTTCCGGCCACAGGGCCACCGAGGCTCCAGACGCTTGCCAAACCACACCGCCCCTGTGATGGAGCAGATTTGACGACGGCGGGAGGAGAGCATCATGAGCGTCAGCTGGGTTATTTTCCGGCCACAGGGCCCCCTAGGCTCCAGACGCTTGCCAAACCACACCGCCCCAGTGATTGAGCAGATTTGACGAGGCGGAGGAGAGCATCATGAGCATCAGCTAGGCTATGTTCCGGCCACAGGGCCACCGAGGCTCCAGACGCTTGCCAAACCCCACCGCCCCAGTGATTGAGCAGATTTGACGAGGCGGGAGGAGAGCATCATGAGCATCAGCTGGGTTATTTTCCGGCCACAGCCCTCTTCGAGTTGGTTGTGAGCCGAGGAAAATCTTTTTCTGCACCGTGGGAATCGAATCACCTGTCCTAAACCCTTTTTTTTCGAGTTGGTTGCGAGCCGAGGAAAGCCGTACCCTAAAGCCGTAGCCGCTTTGCTCCGAGCCGAGGAAAATCTTTCACGGCTACCTTGATGCCTCATTTTTCTGCCGAATTACCTGCCCAAAACGCCCTCCTCGAGTTGGTTGTGAGCCGAGGAAATCTGTTTCTGCACCGTTGGAATCGAATCACCTGTCCAATACCCTTTTTCGAGTTGGTTGTGAGCCGTAGGGTTTCTAGGGTGGTTGGGAGTACGATTTGTTACGGATAAGAGTGGGATTTTAAATACCTGCCCATTCCATTTGCTTATGACACCGCCCCAACCACACCCCTGCAAGACGCACCTCTAAGCCAAACAGGCCGCCCTCCAAGCCATTACTATTGTCCAGACACGGACGGGATCCTTGGCTTAAAAGGTCTCTGGGTTTGTCGTATGTCCCCTCCCGTGCCACCAAGACCGGGAGTACGATTTGTTACGGATAGGAGTGAGATTTTAAACACCTGCCCATTCCCCCTGCAAGACGCACCTCTAAGCCAAACAGGCCGCTCTCCAAGCCAACCGCTTCCCTCCAAGACTAAGCCAAACATCCCCATCCAAGACTCTCCAGACGCACCTCTAAGCCAAACACGCCGCTCTCCAAGCCAAACACTTCCCTCCAAGACGCACCTCTAAGCCAAACATCCCCATCCAAGACTCTCCCAGACGCACCTCTAAGCCAAACACGCCGCTCTCCAAGCCAAACACTTCCCTCCAAGACGCACCTCTAAGCCAAACATCCCCATCCAAGACTCTCCCAGACGCACCTCTAAGCCAAACACGCCGCTCTCCAAGCCAACCACTTCCCTCCAAGACGCACCTCTAAGCCAAACCCAAGCCAAACAGCCCCCGTCCATGACTCTCCCAGACGCACCTCTGGTTTCCAAAAGCCTTTTGTGTCTCGGAAGGACGGGAGACCACTAGCAAGTGCCCCAGGACGATGAGGGGGGATTCAACGGGCTTCCGCAAGGGTTCCTTGCAATTTGCAGTCTGGGGCAGGAAGCTGTCCTTAATGTTGTTTGGGCGGGTCGGGTTCGTGCGACATGCAGGGTTTTTGCTTCGAAACTACAGCCAACAGGTTCCTTTGCCGCTCCTTGCCATTGATTTTGCGTGCGTTTTGCACATTAATGGGCTCTCAGGCCTGTTTTTGCTTTTCCCCAGAGTAGGGCTGTGGTGTCTTGGGTGGGTTTTGCGTGCGTTTGACCAAATAGCTCGCGCCAAAAACCACTCTCTTTTGAACCTTGTGAATCAGCAGGATTTGCTTTAAAGTTTTCCCAGGTCTGCTTGCTCTGCGAGAAGGTTCTATGGCCCGAATATGGGTTTCAAGTTTATGTTTTTCCCCGGTCTGCTTACTCTGCGAAAAGGTTCTATGGCCCGAATGGGGGTTTCAAGTTTATGTTTTTCCCAGGTCTGCTTGCTCTGCGAAAAGGTTCTATGGCCCGAATCTGGGTTTCAAATTTGAATATGGGTTTCAAGTTACAGCCCCACATAATAACCTCTAAAGCCCTGCGAGCAACATGCCCAAAGGCTTAAAACCCCAGAGTGTTTAACCCACGCAAAACCCGCATTGCGCCTTGGAGGGGTTGCGCCCCTCAAGATGGGCCACGGACTTAGAAAGGCCCGGACTTGTTTGCCCCGCCCCCCCAAGATGGGCCCAAGAAGCGACCGAAAGGCCCGGATTTGTTAAACCCTACGGTCTCCAAACAGCAGGATGCTAGTTGAACACGCTCGGTCCCCAAAACTTGAAACCTTGCAAAGCAACCTTTTCGGATTCGCTTTATAAACGAGCACCAAGGAAGGGGACATACGACAAACCTGTAGGGCCCTCACCAGACTCTACGAGCATCAAGGGAGGGACATCCGACAAACCTCTAGGGCCCCAGGTTTTTGGCGGGGGTTTACATAGGGTTAGGGCTTTACCCCCTCCCCCGCAGCAATGTTGCAAAGCAGTGTTCCGAAGGATCAGCACAACCATTCTCACATCACGTCTCATGAATACGTTTCAACATTGATGTGGGGGGGGAGTGCGGGGGATGGAGCGCTCCCCAAGAGCACGCCAAGTCATCGATTTCGAGGCCGGCGTGCGAAACATAGCTACTACCCACTCCGCGCTGTGGCAAAATGCAGAATTTGGGCCGGTCCACCTGCACGGTGAAGTAACCTACTACACGCGCGGCGTTGTGGCGGGAGAAAAGTATTATACACCGTCATTTCGTCTTACGCCTCAAAAGCACGTTCTTGTTTAAGTAAATTGAGATGGCTGTGCTGATTCTTTCGGAACACTGCTTTGCAACATTGCTGTGGGGGGCACCCTTAGGATGTTACGGTCCTTACAGTGCTAGCTACCTTTCCCACTACTATAAGCCGCCAAACGGGGCGGCGGAACGTAACCCAGCCCTACTAGGGGGAAAGCGAAAACAAGCCGGAACGTAGCGGAACGTAGCCAGCCAAAACCCGAACGTTACCCCAGCCTTACTATGGCGAAAAGCCAAAACAGGCCGGAACGTAGGCGGAACGTAACCCAGAGGGCCCGTTTTGGACGGGTGTGTTTGGCTTAAGTTGCTACCGGTACTTCTCCTACAGCACGCTCTGCTAAGCACAGCACTTTCTCTGCAACCTCAGCGTGTAAAACAGTTGAGTGTCCGCCTTTCAGACTCGTTCGAGCTGCTGCTTGCGTAGTCTCAAGTAGACCTTTTGGGAGAACGACCAACTGAAACCTGATGAGTATCACGTATCGTGAAAAAGTTTGGACTTTCCTTCCGCCCCTGTCATCTCACCTCCAGCATCACTGGTCTCTCTTTGTTGCCTTGGAAGGCATTTCTTGGTTGATCTTGGATGCGTGCTCGAGCTTGACCCGCAGAAGGAAGGCCACATGATCTGTCAACAGGGGAAGCCCATCTTCAATGACAGAAACATGGCCGACAGGACTTTGGTTGCCATGTTCAACATCTACACAGAGACAAAAGTTGAGACACATTGCAACTGCAATGATAGCACGCAAGCAATGGTAGCTCTCTCTCTCTCTCCCTCCCTCTCCCTACTGCAGACCTCGCAACGGCCAGCCCCAGTCTTGTGCCGCTTCGGATCCATGTGGCAAGTGCTCTGGCCACGTGAGGCAGCCATGTTGAGCCTCAGAGATCCCCCTGACCGCATGTGTGCACAGGTCCAACATGGCGAAGAGGCTTGCGACAAGTGTGCCGTTGTCCGAGTTGCTGAGGGCTATGTGCTTCTGCATGATGATGCCAGGCAGATGGTGCATGTCCGCGCACAGACGTGAGTGTGCTGCTGGAGAAGGTGGCGAGTGATACGGACAGAAGGTTCTTCAATAAATGTGCTTTCACGTTCATTTGATTCATCCACCAGGCGCTCCAGCAGTTTCGCGAAGATCTGGTGCTCGAGCTGCAGCACATCCGCCACGACATCACGAAGGCGCCTTTGTCGCAAGTGCCCGTGTGGAGAGAAAGACAATGCCGTTGCAGACATGTCGTGCCAGGATTTTGCTGGCTTGCGCGAGGATCTGCTCAAGAACTTCCCACACAAGCAGGAGTGGCTGTAGCAGGAGCGGCTTTCACGCAACATGTTGGACCGACAGCTTTCAGGACACACATGATCAGCTTGGCGACGAAACGGTGCCTCACCAAATCGCCGAACCGATTCGGTTCCTTTATCTGCGTACGTAGCCAGTGCCAATACTCAGGACGTCCCCATGAACATATCTGACATCACGGATGCATCGAGTATGCAACAGATCTGTCAGGCTCCTGCACAAAGTAGAGAGCTGTTCGTGTAAACAAGTTCCGAAACTTTTTGCTACTGACTTGCAGTTGAGGATGCGCAGATGGAATGGACGATGGAGGCGGAGAAGGCGACAACCCCCTCCACAATTCAAGGAAGATGCTGTGCGCAGCCAGGCAAAGGTGCTTGAGTTTCACATGGATGTCGACGATGAGGAGGCATGGGGCGATTTGGGGCCAAACGTTGTTCCAACCCCTTTCGATGTTACAATCTCAAAGCAGGAGCAATAATCTCCACAATGTACACTTTGCTCCTCACACGACTGAACCCTTCAAGTTGCCGGAGGCGCGTCCCGAGGCATCATCGATTGAGCTAACAGAGGCCCGGTCGATTTGAGCTGATGGTCTCTTTCTTATCTGTCAGAGTGGCATCCTCAACATCATCTCGAGAAGCCCGTAAATCACTCACTCACTCCCTCACTCGCGGCATTCGAAGAAAGTCTTCAAGCCGAGCAGGGGGACTTAGCCCCGGCGTGTTGGCAGCTGTTGGGCAGACCAACAGCAAGTAGCAACGTTGGTACGGGAGACAACGGGGGTTAGGACACAGCCTTCCCGCAACCACACGACAAAGCCGAACAACAGGCAAAACAGCTGTGTCCATACCCCGCCTCACTGGTCGTTTGCCAGTTCGTTTACTGCAAAGCATCAAGCATTTCTTGGATCTGTCGCTCTAGCCCACCGCGAGTAGCTTTGTCCGAGCTTCGCGCCGCTCTCAACAAGGGCTCGTTCTAGTGAATCAAAGACTGTACACCAGTCACTGGCAAGCCAAATGCAACTTCACCGTTCCTGTATGCCATGTTTTCTGAAAGCGAGCAACATGAACATGTACCGCAATGGAGTTCGGGTCTGAGCCGGGCTTTGTGAGACTCTCAAAATGCCCTTTGAGAGCGTCCGCATCCTCCTTGGTAGCCGCACTCCCGCTGCAGCATTCACGACGGAAGCCCATATGTGTACATCGATCTTTCTTTCATTGCCCTGTTCTTCTCCTTGCCTTCCAGGCCCTCATCATCGTGAACCCACTGTTGCTTCACAGGGCGTGCCCTTTCTATTGCCTGCTGAAACCATGACATCTTGACCACTACCCTGAAGAGCTTAAGACCTCGACACTTGTGGGAAATGCTGCGCGATGCACTGTATCAACTCATCCAGCGACGACTTTTCTTTGTCACATATTGGGCATACCAGAACCAATGGCGTGACAACATTCGTGCAAGTGACGCTGCTTGCCCCGGTACACCGATGCACCCGAAGAGTATTGCGTGTGTGATTTTGCGTAGTTTGGATGCTCGTAAACACATCCTTGCACAAAGGGCATTGGTTGCACACAGCTGCTCGCACATGTGGATGTACATGTCCATTGGTGCCTCCTTTAGTTCTTCGCTGATGCATGGAAACGCTTGCACTGTCTCGAATGTCGTGCACTTCCATCGTCGCACTTGCGCGAACAACAGCCCCTCAGCACCGCCACCCATTTTGCATTGCTCCGCGGAGACCTGGGGATGACGACGCCAGGTGGCGGAAAAGAAAGACGAACGCAGCTCAGTGCAATCAGCCAGTTTGCCCAATCTGTGAATACGAGGAAAACCTGTCTCCGACTCTCCGATGCCTCGGCCGCCGAGTCAAGTGTAAGCCATGTGACCGTATCCTGCTGGAATTGAATAACCCATGGGTTAACAAGAGCAGTAAAACCATCATCGTCCCGAGCTGCGGCTGTCGCATCCCAATGCAGTTTGCCAAAAAAGACCGCCAATAAGCTTGTATATGTAGTTCTTGCTGAGCGGTGCGATCACGCCACTGGTCCATAGCAGGATGATATACTTCAAGAAACTGTCCGCAAGCAACGCAATCACCTTGTAGCCCTCCAGACCCAGGTCCCAGGTTGAACACATAGCTCACCATTTCTGGTTGCAATGTGCACGTAGGTTTGCATGTGCCGCCGTTGTAGTAGTTCCACATAGTCAGGTCTTGCAACTTTGTGCATGGCATACTCCCATGCTTGCCTCGTCGGGCTGGGGAAGGCATTGGCAACATCATAGAGTGAAAGGACATGTGATAAGTATTTGATGTTGCCTGAGTCTGTGCAGCAACACTTCCTGTTGCAACATGGAATCTGTACGCGACTTGTTCCGAAGATAGCCCGAGGCATAGTCCTGATAATGTAGATGTTTTCCCCGTTTCCAAAGGACATCCAAATTGTTGATAAGTCGCAATCCTGCAGGTCCTGCTTTGCCATTCCTTTTGTCCAGCTCTGTCGCAAAGCTACGTTGCCAAACAACAGGGGCGCGCCCGTACATCCGAATGGAAACCAACATTTTGAACAGCACTGTGAAACAATACGGACCTGGAGATTTCCAACTTGTATCCAACCCCATACGCCATTCCAGAAGTAAGAGCTGGCGCCACACTTCAGCCGGGAGACCCGGGAGGAAGAGACTTGCGCAGTTTGCCGAGTTTTGCCCTCGATAGGAGCGCACGAAGATCTTGACGTGCAAGGCGTAAAGAGTCCTCCAAGGAATGACTGTTGTCCATTTCGCAATCTGATCCCACTCCAGGCAATTGCAGAAAAACTCTCCATTCGGAGCCCCGCGGTCGCACAGATTTGGGAACATCATATTGCCTCCGCTTCGGGCCCACCCTTTTTCCTGACAGCAATCTCGAAACTTCCCGGACCTGCTGCATATCACGAGCCCGCCACGCAGTCTCGAACTTGTTGAGTAGAATGTTGTCCCGGTTTTTGTATCCCGCTTTGTACAGGTGTCGACAGCTTGTCTAGCCCTTCTGAAAACGGTGAGCATCGGTGAGCTTCCTCCATGCATGCAGAATGTCATGCAGAGATTGCTGCAAGAATACAGTGCCGCAACCATCGAAACGACCATGACCATGCCCAAGACAAACAGTGTGGTAAGAAACCAAATCTTGCTTTGCTTCCAGCATGTTAACGATGGCCTCCTTTGTGTCTGTAGGCCTCGGCACAGCCTTTTTTGTTGGAAGCTGGTAGACATCAACTGCAGCATCACGTATTGCAGAGGAGAAAGCTGAAAGCATGACACATCTTGTCCGGACTGGGTACACTAGTCGGGATGTCGTCAAATGCGCGCTGCAAGCGTTGATCCACCCGCTGAAACAAGTACTCCCTTCCAGCATGGCAAAGCATCGTCCACCAAACGCGTCTTATCCCACATGATCTTTGCCATCTGAGGTGAGCGCTCATATGACAAGCCAACCTCAACATCGATTTGCAGTGGTAAATGATCCCGTCTCGCAGTGTCACTAATGAGCTGTAGCATGTCCGCTGCAGAGTACTGAATGTGACACCTCCGTACATTGCGCAGTGTAGCAGTTGGTTCAACAATGTAATCAACACGAGTCTTATGCCTTCGAGGTGGTGGGCAGTAGAACATTGGACCAACATCAAAGTGTGTATTGACAGCAAATAAGTACTGAGAGGACGGCAAGTCCACAAACGAACCCCCGTTACAGTTCTGTAGCTCGACTCGAGAATGTCCAACCTCTTCACTTCGTGATGGAATGATGTCACCTCCAGGACCCCGTACAAGACAAATGTGAGCATTGGCATCCATGCAAAGAATGGGAGTGCATCTCGCAGGCAATCTTTCAACAAATCCGCGTATCTTCAAAGCTGTATGTTGCGATGCCGTTGATTTTGCTTTTGTGGCTCTGTGTACATGTAGGCAGAAATGATGCACAGGTCCAGGTCTCCCTGCTGCAGGCGTAAAGCACCGAACCTCACTCGAAAATCAGGGGAGGAGTAAACACACGCGACGCATTTCGCTCCTGGAGATTCTTTTGGCAAGCACTGGCAAGCACGATTGCAACACCAGCTGCTTTGTTCTCCTGCCCTCCCTTACCACCCCATTCATACCACAAGTGTTTGGCTGACCGTCGCAATACACGGCTCATCGGTGACAGACTTGGCCAAACCTTGTATGCATGTTGCATGCGATCTCCCCAGCTCTCGTAAGATTGCGGTGCGTCGAACTTCATCTTTAGCGGCCAAAGGATTGTACGAAGTAATAAGTAGGCATAAGTAGGCGCATTTACGACCAGCCCCAACAAGCATCATCCATGGCCCCCCCTGCGTGCACTAGCGCACTCAGCGTCGGTCACCCTACCTTACCTCAACTTGTGCAGAAAGGGCTAAGCCCGTAAATCAACGCCTATGCATCTCCTGTCCAGAAGAGATCCACGCAAAGATTGTGTCCTTTCTTGAGAGGCTTCCGGTATGCTGCATGACATGTTGATCAATTCTGCGTCGTTGCCGGGTAAACTGGACATATTTCACAACGATGCATGATTGGATGGAGCAGTCTAGCTTAAAGTTCCGTGGCGTGAACCTATGGAATGGTACTGTTGTAGCCGGAGAGTCAGAGACCCGGCTCCAGGGCAGCGACAGCCAGCCATGGAGGACCGGGTCCGCATGCAGGCTTTGGCGGGTCTTGCCATGTCATGACGAGGATCGAAGAGGAGTTGGATGTGGAGAAGATTTACGAGCAGCACTGGGAAGAGGCCAGCTACGCACAGCAGCAAATCAATCAGTGTCTTTGTGGCCACCTCGCCCCCTCGAGCTTGGCAGGTGCCAGTGGAGGTGCCCTTAGCACCGAGTTCCTGGCTCAGACTTCGGGTACGTGATTTTCGTTCCCCTTTGCCCTGTCCAAGGTCTGGCAGAGAGGCAGCGACGAAGGCGCAAGGCGGATACATGCACTTTCCAACCAAACGCTCAGAAGCGCAGAAAGCGGGTTGCTGTGCTGGTGGCCAGGCAACGGCCCACAGGTATCGGATGGATGCCGCGCATTCATTGGCGCTGCGATGCGAGGATGCTGTCCAGGCTTGAGATGTCCCTGTCAGCTACTACATCAGAGTACCCGCGTGATTCTCGAGGTCGTTGCTGTCTTTCTATTCTGTGCAGAACGAACGAACACTACGGAACCTGTAACAACAGTAAGTTCTTGCGATACTGGCAGCAATCCCTGTGACCTTTGAAGTATCAAGCGTACAAGGCGTACAAGTTTAGCACCACTTCTTCGCTGCCGTCGGTTTGTCGATCGGTTTCGGAGTGAGCGACCCCAATAACGCAGCTGTATGAAGGTTACCGAGAGATAGCGAGAGTGAAACAAGAGACCCCACAACCTTCATGTAAGATTCGTTTTTGTCATTTAAGAACTTCGGCACCGTCAGATGAAGCTGTACACTCAACTTCACACCGAACCTGTTTGAGCTCGTTCTTCGTCGATTGGCATGTTCAAGCACAAATTCCCTTGGCATTGAGGGTGTGGACATGGAGACCTAGACTGAGTAGAGTGGGTGTGGAAGTTTTGGGAGTTTGGTGGGACTGGGGAAGCTCGCGAGTGGCTGGGAGGCTTTCGGCGCGGGGGTGGGGAGTGGAGAGGGAGCAAAACAACAAAAACCAAACTGGGACTGGGTGGGGCGGTGGTTTCCTTCGCGCCCACAGCCGCCCAGCACCCTAGCCACAAGCATTTGTGCCCATAGATCTCCAGGTATCCAGCGGCTTTGACGATTTCTATGTAGGATTTTAGGGCCTCAGGGAACTGGGGCGCAAAACTGCTGAAGATAATGGCAAGCTACACATCGGAAGGTTGCATGTAGGGCGACGCTTTCTGCAATAATTATAATTGTCACAGTCACAACAAAAGCAGCAATAGAATCAGAAGATTCAACATAATAACAAAGGCATAATATAATAATAACAAGATGAAGAAGAATAAGACAGTCACTAATAATGTGAAGACAGTTGTCAGCACAGGCTTTCATATGCGACGCACCCTGGTAGTTGTGAACCATTGTGTTGTGTGTGCTTGCGTGTCAGGCAGCTGATGTGGCAGGCTGTCCAGAGGCCAGGTCTTTGCCATCAGTTGTAGTTTTCATTTCTTCCGCGTTAGTAAATGGAAAAGAGGATGAAAGCGAAAAGAAGATGAAAGCCGCAGCATGTTCCATGTTCCCTTCCATATTGCAAAATGGAACAGAAATTGGAAACTCTAGTTTCTCAGTGCACTTTGTGAAACATGTCGAACAAGGTGTTGAAGGTCCTTGGCGCACACAGCTTGCTGGAGATGCTCCGTGTGCCTTCGCCACGCAGTGTTTGCATGTGTTATTCTGGCTAGATGCAGGTGCTCGGGTGCTGACTAGTGCCGCGCACTGTCAGGTTCAGGACATCTGTCGGCTGGGCATGTCTTGTCGACCTGCCAATTCAGATGTCGCTGACTCAGGATTCAAGCATACCTCAGTTAGAAGCACTTCTTGTTCATGGAAGCTGTCCGACGGTAGAAGTGACTGCGCCATTTGCAGTCTTCGTGTCGGCCCAGGCGGTGCAATACCTCTCGCAGTTCGTCCGGATGGGCGAGTCCGAACGCTGGATGTTTCCATTGATGTGTTGTGAAAGGTCGATGCTTGATGGTTGTGTACGCTCTCGTGCAGAATACCTTTTGATCTACTTGGATGAACTGGAACGCGAGAAGTTTGCCGCTTGCACCTCTGCGTGAACTGAAGTATGAGCTTAATGGGCTCACTTTTGATGTGCTCCTGTGGACCAGCAGCGATTGTTTGAAGAACATGTTTATTTAGAGTTTAGATTTGTTTAGTGATGGTGGCAGCAGTAGTAGTGCTATAAGTTTTTTTGTGCTACGGGCTGCGGACCCATATAGGTTATTTACCATTCTAACTTGCATTTATGCCGGGATTGTTTTCTAGAATTTTTATGTGTTGGACGTATACACGGATTGTTTCTTGGATTGATTTGTGTGTTGGACTTACACAGGATTGCTTTCTGGATGTTTTCACGTGTTGGTTTGTTTACAAGGATTGTTTTCTGCATTTGTTCATGTGTTGGATTTATACCAGGAGAGTTTTCTGGATCTTTTTTGTGTTGAATTTATACAAGGATTGTTTCTGAATATTTCTTATGTGTTGGATTTACAAAACGATTGTCTTGTGGATTTCTTGTGTTGGATATGAGGATATGATACCACCCCTCGCAACCGGCACCGTCTAATCAAGGAGGCCTTGTTAATCCCGTTCATACATTATTTCTCGCCGCGCAGCACGCTCAAGCTGAGGCAGTATCTGGGTCTTCAGCAAAGCGCTTCTGTGTAAGACCCCGGCTGATAACGAAGTGATTGTTCGCCTGATGCGACGTTGCCACAGTGGTCACCAGTTCTTTGACCAAGAACGGGAATCAGCGCTCTGGGTACTAGTCTCATTAGGAGTGTATGGCTGCAAGGAGGTTCGAGATTTCGTGATGGAGAGCATGCCCCAGATCTACGCATCACTTCCAGCTTTGGAACGTGAGGGGCGGGCAGTTCCAGTCCTCATGAGGCACCTTGTGCATTCCCACCAAGCACTGCCACGATGCTTGCGAGAACAGTGGGTGAATTCCCTGGTAGACTGCGTTCTCAAAGCCTCCAGTACCAGAGAGCACGATCGTTATTACTTCGACTTCTACATCCACAAACTCGAGCTGTTGGTCAGCGATGTTAGTTTTCCGGCACGCTATCAGTTTAGCGCCATCGCGAAGTTGGACACGCTGAACACACCTGCGGTCTGTCGATTTCGGAGATTTTACGGACACTCATGACAACGAAGTGACTGTCCGCCAGAGCACCGTTGTCACGGTCATCAGCCTTCGCCGGCGCGCAGCAGCAGCTCTTTGGGATGCCGGGTCAGCTGAGAAATTGCAAATCCGTGGCATTTGGCTGACCTTCATCTTTGCCGAGAGGCTTGGGACAACACCGCATGAGAGCACCAAGAACTGAAGCACCGAAGCGAGGCACCCTGGAGCACGCCGCGGGTTGAAGCGCATCTACTCATTCCGAACGTGCGGCAAAAGCGGGCGGTACATGGTACATCACATGAGGGTCGGTCCCGGAGTATTCCCAGCGTTGAAGTCGGTTGGTGGGCAGTTTCTGGCTCAAGCTTATGTGGTTACGATGGTATACAACTGCAGCAGGATGCTCAGATCGAGAAATTCAAATATCTCTGGCCATGCCGCTCTGCGAGTATTTAGTCGGTCCCGTTTCGGCCAAGGGATGGGACTGGTAGAACATAAGTTGGCCGAATTGGGGCTTAGAGTACGTAGTGTTTAGGGTCAAGTTGGCAGCTGTAGAAGTAAAGAAGGGCGGCCAAAACAATAGTAGTCCACGTTCGGGTCGTTTCGTTGGGTCATCGGTAGACGTTGGTATGCTTGCTTTGTAGGCAAATGCCCACATGATAGCAGTATTTCACGTTCGCGACGTTTCGTTGGTCAGTGGTAAAAGTTCGTGTGCTTCTTTTGTAGCCTGAGTTCCAGGAAATAAGGGACGCTGATACAAACCCTAACTAAACACAGGAGGATCCTTCATGTACCACCCATAACCCGGTTTGCTGAAGCTCCCATGAAAGCAAAGTTACGGCTCTCCAAACTAGGATTCGAGCAGAAGAAAGAACCTTGACCCTCGTAGCTACCTTCGAATAGTCCATTAAAAGGGCTATCCGGACCATAATATTATCATTGTTTACGCTTCCATATTGGGCTCCTTAGGGCCGTTTTAAACGGATGCTTGTGAGACTTTAATAGTCGGCATTTGTGGTCTAATGAAGGGTCGAGGGGTGAATGAGGGTCCAGGAACTTTTCTGATGCTTACAGACGACGCGGCCAACTTCAGTCTCGGAGCTGCGTGGTTCTATTTTTGCCTCGTTGCCCTGTCGAAGGCAAAGCAGACGCAGTAAGCAGGCGATTTTGAGGGTTATAAGTACGCCAATGGGGGACGTATAATTTGTTGCCCTACCTGTGCCCTGCTTTCTAAGTCCCCAGATCCTTCAAGTAGGTCGCAAAGCCACCCATCCTGCCAAGGAGACGAAGGAGAGCTTTCAAGACTTGCTCCCCTCCCATAAAGCCTCGGAGACCCTCATCCGCGGCAGCCCGGCGTTGATTTTTGTGACATTCCTGGCTGCAGAGCAGGGAGTGGAATAGGTGTGATTTCAATTCCAGAAACAGAATTCATCACCCGTGAGCTACAACTGCCGCCTGCCAGTAAAGTGGTTAAGGCAACTCGAAGTTTGTGTGCTTCTCACGGCAGTCTGATGGCGGTGGCATTTTGGCAGCGGCCGGGCAGCAATGGCTGATAGTTTCTTCCGAAAGATGCAGCCGCCTGTGCTGTGGATAAAATCCAAACGCTGAGTACTTGCTGTCTGGAAATC